ATATATATATATATATATATATATATTAAAAATCTATGTCAATCATTACCACAGTTACTTACTTTCTTATTATTTAATAAAGTAGGGTCTGGTAAAATTGAAATTTAGTTTGGAATTCCATTTGTATTCAATTTTGGTTGGCTAAAAGAATTAATATCTCGATAAAATTCGATTTTTCGTGTCATACTCGCAAAACCATTTTCTCCATTTTGTCTCTCTAGTCACGTGGTTCTAAAAATGGCGATAAATAACTGGACGTCGTATATGTCGTTGAAGATTGCTTTCTTGCGACTTTCCCAATAAAATTGGCCACATTGTCTTGTTTTAGGGTACTCTGAAAAGTAGCCTAGAAACCGTCCACTTTACTGGACCACCGTCGGCCAATTGGCCGACGCTAACCCCAATTTCATGTATCACGGGCAACGATGGCGTCGAATTTCAGGCACCGTATGGCACACACGTGTCGTAGACCGGCTAACCACCGTGCGACGATATTTTAACTCTTTTTAACCGAAAAACAATCTCCCTATACGGCCGCTGTTTTACGTAAACTATGCCATGGTGTATTTACGTGCTCGCATACTTTATTTGCTTCTGGGGGTGACCGGCTAACAGTTGCTGGCAACCTGAACTTTGTAAGTAATACGGCTCCCTAAAGATGCCACGGTATTTCGTTAAATTCTGTGACGATATTCCTCAAAGCATAAAATACCCATATTTCACGAAAAAAAAATATATATATATATATATATTTTCGGACATAAATCAAAATTAGTTCGATTCCAGTTAAATCGTATATTTTTATTTGAATATTATAAAATCAAAGATTATAAAATGTAAAATATTTTTAGTTCGGAAATTAAATAATGAAATTGTGAAATTTAGAATTTTATTTTCAGTAAAAAATAATTTCGTTTAAATTTGAATACCGTACTGTAAAAAATATGCAATAACGTATTAATACGTTTAGTTTTTTAAAAGACATTTAGTGATTCCAATACTAACCTAACATATAAAATTAGTAGTTTTATTTTTCAGAATCGTGTAATTAATTATTAATTTAATTATATTTAATCGAATTATTCAGTTTGTCGGTTCATCGACGAAGGAAATCCAAGATAACTTCGTCTTAGGCACACTTTTAAGTATACTATATTGGCAGCCATGATTCTCCTGACGGGAATTTGCATGCTTTGAGGAAGCAAACGATGCGCCAAAATCGCAGAAATTTATACCAAAACTCTGTTTCCTCCTAATCCGCTCGATAGGATTAGTCCGTTTCCTAAAAGAACACGGATAATATCTAATGTGGCAAATATCAATAACTAATCAGCAGCTGCTATTGCGTGTTATAGTGAGTCATTTTAAGTGGTTAGGGAAAAAACCAAACCAGGGAAACCCAATAAACCAACGTGAATAACAGAACTTCAACGAGCCGGCAAAAAATATCCTCGTACTAAACGTTTTCATTCCATTATAAATGTAAATTGCAAAGGATAAGGAGAAACAATTTTTTTTTCTTCAATTTCAAGTTACATTAATTTTATGAAACGCGTCGATACATAATTTAAATTGAAGTACTTCGAGATAAGAATTTATATTTATAAAAAAAGAATTCACATTCGACCGTATTAGAAAAAGAAAAACGAATTATAATCGTCCCATAAATATGCATACTGCGTGGATGAATCAACAGACGAGTGCGCTCTCTATCGATTATAATACTCCCATTTCCCCCGAACTTATTCAACGAAGCGACCAGGCTGCACGCAAGCTTCGCAGTCATGTATTTTTCTACAGTTCATTCACTAATGCTTCCCATGAGACTGACTTATGCACGTTGCCTGTCGAGGACAATTACCTATCTAAATCACGAACATTCCTCGCGTATTTCGAGTAAAAGTTAGTATAATTCCGGTTATTAAACTTCCCCGCCTCCGAGGAAAATGAAACAATACGAATAAACCGGGAAACAAAGGAGACGGTAAAAGTATGACGTAACCTAACTCGTGGCGCGCACTTTGTTTTCAACACAGCGAACAAAGCCTAGAACTATTCCGTCGGTAATTTATCTCCAAGATCAACGTTACATTAGAACGATGACACTAGACTATTAATAAACAGTAATCTACCATTTCTCCCTAGATCGTATCTGTGTAATTTGAAAAATCACCATACACGTTAATATTGCATAAATTTCTACACTTAAATTTCGGTAGTATTTGCGGTTAGAATTATACCAACGCGCGTTTAAAATTAGCAACTTTTACTTTCAGTTTCATGGCGCATGACACTAACACGTTAAACCAATATGCTTATTTGTATTTATACGACTTGTAGAACGATCTTTCACAAGCGATACGAAAAAAAAATTATTAGATGTCAATTCTGCATGCCAATCGACGAACCTGAATTAGAATTAGTCGATGTTAATATTAGAATTATTCAATGTTATATTACCGTCATGTTTCATCTAGCCCCCTGCCGGCGCTAAGAGTAAACACGACATGCCGCCTTTTTTCCCATTCCTGTCACGTACGGTATTACATCCAAGGAATCATGTGCGCAAGATTCTATTCTTATTTAACTTTACACAACGATAAAAAGAGCATGATATCTTAAATATTTATCGGGGATTGGAAATAACGTCAACGGTGACGCTCAATATTGTCGCAGAATCTTAACCTTAATACATATTCAAACAACGCACAATATCCACGTGGTTTTATTTAGCATGCGGTAAAACAATTTCGATTCACTTTAAACACGACCAATCGAGCCATTATCACCTATTTCATTTCCTATCCACCATGTGACACAATTGCACGAATTTCACGGTACATTTTCTGTCAGGTCGTTTCTCCTGCGTCGCATTGCGAGTCCCGATTCACCGACTGGCCCGGCAGTTTTCGTTTTTATCGTTTGGACCACGGCCAAAAGGTGGAGACACGCAATTAAATTTCGGACGAGTAATCCTCGGCAAGAAAATTACGAAGAGCTGAGTAGAAAGACGAAACGAGAAATTTATTTTCATCGTACATTTGATATATCATTTGATGTTTTATTTTTTCTATTTTTTATATTATATATATATATATATATACAATAAAAAATTACGTTATCTGGACAAAATTGATATCACCCTCTTCTTGTAATTTTCATATGTTAGAACGAAATTCGTACTTATCGATTCAAGAGTTACCTAACTATAAAATATATATTATTATTTCTTTTTTAGTAGTGGCTGAATATAACTTGCTTTATATATATGAAATACTTATAAACGAAATTAGATACTAAATTTTAGATGCAAATTACCCTTGACGCCGATTCTACGCATTAAAATCAACTACTGAACAATTTTTTTTTGCAGTGACCATTATATCTTAACAATCGAATATTCATACCATGGAACAAAAGATAAGTTCAATCCATCATAACGTAAACTTCTGTTATCCTTACTAAAAAAATTTATTATTCTATTCAAAATGATTAGTAATTTCGTAATTTTGAAAAGTAAAAGTTATATTTATTAATATTTTACTAATCCTGAAATCTGATTTTAACCTGCAAAATCTGCATAATTACCTGTGACGTTAACGTAATAAGTTTAAATTCAGGTTACAGAACTCTCGAAACGGTCACTCGACCGTGTTTACGCATAGGCTACAGAAATTTTTCTAGAAGCTACTTTCTGTAATTAAAATCGCAGAAAAACTAGAAACAGGTAAACATATTCCACCCCGTATATGTAGGCCGCCGTAGTGGCCACAGTGAATGCGTAATTTAGCACCCTTATTTTAGCCGGCATAAACAAAGCCTGGGTTGATTTTCATCAAAACATCGTAATGGAAAAAAGCGGTCAAACCAGTACTGGCTGGTGCACCGCTAAAATTCCGGATCGGGAAGAATATAAGTGAAGTGGGAACTCACCGTAGGCCTCTTCAGCGTGACATCTCCGTAGCTGAGAACTTCGCAAAAATGTCGCGCACGATTTTTCAACCCTGTCGTCAACGCAGTCCAGCCTAGTGTGCAGTCGCACCACGAATTATCCCGATCACGTCCAGTCACAAAAAGCACAGGACGACGTGCATGATGATGCACGCACGGCTTCCACGTCTCTTTCACCGGCGGACGATCCCTGCCCGCGTACCGAAACTCGCGTGGATTCACGTTTATTCGATAGTACGGCTCGCTAAACACGAGGTCTCTCCACTTCGAGAATATATCCCGCGATGCTGGAGAGTGTTCAAGTTGCTCCGTGAGGGAGAGACACGACAGCATATAGAGACGGACAGATACGGACGGTCATATGCGTGTCGCGCAGCGGACCCAGTGTTAACGATGCAACTTAAAAATCCCAGCTAAGAGTATGACATCGGGCCAAAGAGAAAGGGACGAGAAGCGTGCGATCGAAATATCTCCCCCCAATGACAACCGCACTGCTCAAGCAACAGCATCCGACTGCTTTACTGGGCCCATCAACACCATGGGCAACCTATGCAGCTGTGGCGACGTCTGGTGTAACTTCAGGAATTGTCGGTGATTATGGAAGTTTTATTTCAGTTTGATATTTCTTTCAAAGTTTTTACTATAATTAGATTGCTCTTTACAAATTCGATTGGAGCTATTTATTTGTCAAAAATATGTACTATAGTTGTTAAAATTAGAGATTGCTTTTAAAAAATTTACTATCGCTACTGTTAAAGTTTTATACATTAACAACATTGTGTAATAAAATAATGGGTAACTTAAATATAATCTCATTCTTTTCTTCTTTTTTTTTTTTCTTTTTTGGCTATTTGCTTGTTTTGAAATTATTACTGAGATGCGGTTTTATTAAAAGAATCTTCATTATCAATTGTAGGTAAGGTTATCGACGAAAGAAATTTATTATTTCTAAATTGATAATTGTCTTTATTATTAAAACATTAATTGCAATCTGTTTTCATAAAAATATAATTTTGAAATGAATACTTTGCTTTCAAATTAAATCTAATTTATTACCTAATTTAGTTGTAAGTTTTGGCGGTAACCTATTAACCTCGTCGTTATAGTGTAAGAATCAATACTGTAATAAAATTTACAAAAAATTTATTTACAATAAACAAGTTAAATAGTATACATTTAATATCTGTATTTAATATCCTTAAGAAAGTTAATAAATTAACGTATAGCTTACCACGATATCGGACTGATTCTATACTGCATAGTTTCCTTATGCTTATACCTTGAGCTACGATTCTCTGAATTTAAATTCAAATATATAGTAAACATAAGAATCCCAATAAGATTCGATCGAACATTCCACTTGTTCAATCAGAGGTAGAAAATTGCTCCGAAAATTACAAGTAGACTAGCCAATAGAATAAAATAAAATAAAATAAATTTTTACTATACGATTAGTGTTTACAGTGTATTACAAAGTTACTGTTCCCATAAGTTTCGACATTAGACATTTCATATAATCATAATAAATGAAATCGTAACAATTAGCACGAAAGTGAATCTTTTAATTTTGTGTATTGCACTCGTGCTTCGACTATTGGTATGCATTATAATTTTTGCCTAAGTAGGTAAAGTTCATGACAAATACTGATACACGTGAACCCGTGGATCATGTGATTGCCTTATTAGTCGCAGTACAAACCTTCCTGCGTCAGTGAACCACGATGAACGCTACACGTTGGTCATACGCTTCCCGTCACTACTTTAAAATGTCAAGAAAAACGTGAGGTCTTCGACAGTCACGTTATTCACAACTGGGAGTATCCAAATGCAACGAATAGTTTAATTCCGAGGTGAGAAATCTCAATGTTCCAGTAACCCTTTAACGCCCACACTTTGTCATATAGTACATCGTTAATTTGTCTGGCGCTTTTTCTTGGTGTTGTAATCTCTTAGAATTTATTCCACGTCAGCTCATATTGTAATTTACTAGAATAGATGATCTTTATTATTAAAATTTTAACGAAAATTTTATCCAGGATTCGTAATTTCGTTAATGATACTCCGATAACTAATCAACCATAGCATTGATTACTCAAAACAAAATTAAGTTCTTAATGGATTTTTAACAGCTTTTAACGATGTACGAAGTTATTACTTAAAATACTTCATATTTATCACTTCCATTTGGTTTCTATTACTGTTACTAATTTTGTGTTAAAATAATTATATTGTTTCTTTTTTCATTAAGTGTGAAATAAAATAAAAGCGATAGTTTAGCTTATACATATATACTTGATATACTATATGTACTTGAAATATCAGTATCTATTTCTGTTTTGAGTGACTGTTCTAATTGATAATCATACATTATATGTATATTATATACATTCTGAAAAAAATAATTATCTTTATAGGACCAAGGATGTCAAAACGACTGAGCTTCTATGGTCTAGTAGGCCTGGCGTCCCTTTGCATCTTCTTCTTAGCATTTAATCAACGCTACAGCAGCTACCTTGAGCATCGACTGCAGCCGGTGATATCGGTCAGTAAAAAATCGGAGGTGGGGATTGCTCTAAATTGAGTCACGCCAAACACGCTCTTTCTGACGGTAAAGTCTAACTTTTGCACCTAACTTTTTTCCACTTGTACACTAACAGTGAGCTGTTAAGCCATTGCAAACAGTTACCAGTTCTCTTTCTCCCTGTTTCCACCTTTCCCTTTCCTATTTATCATTCATGCAGCATTAGTTTAGATAGTTATTGGAAATTATTGGATATATCATATTTAGTAGACCTCTGGGGTTATTTAGTACTAATTTTGTACAAAAGATTAACAGGACATTGTAAATATTCAATATTATATAGTCATAATATATTAGCGCACAATTTTCTTTATACCAAAATAATACAGATTTATGATCATTATTTGTGGAAAAGTGACAATAATGAAAACTCATGTACATGTATCAAAGCTTTGTGTTTTCTTCTATGGTTTATTTCTTTCAAATTTTATATTTTGCATGTTTTGCATAAGTTTACACTCCTTTTTTGCACTTTTCTTTCTTTATAATGTATATATAATTTTATTCACATCACTGCATACTTTACACACTAATTCACTACCTTCACTACCTACATAATGGAAGAGGGAGAAAGATGTTGTCCTGGTTACATCAGCAGCATTTTCGTGTTCACAATATACTATGCACTTTCAGAATGCTAAACTATCAATATTTTCTTCAATATAGGATGTGGAAATAAGGCCACGCATCAGCAAAATTCAAGATCCAGTAACGGTAAGCAAAATGCATGTAGATTTATGTAGTTTGTCAGATTTGTTCCGTAGAATGAGTATTACAAACTGACTTCCATTATATAAAACAAAAAGGTATTTAAAGAAAGACTTGGAAAATGGTAAATAAAGTTTATTACAGAGTTTAAATTAATTTTTATATACATACATACATGCACATACACATATGTTTATTATATAAAATATATACATAACTTGTACTATATTTAACATATACAAGTAAAGGAATATTTATTATGATATTGATTCTTTCATTCATAATAGAAAATTGAGTATTTAACATTGAGAGCACTGGGAATATACACCACAAAAAGTCACTATCACTTTGTTCGTTTTGTATTTTGTCAATGTAAACTATAAATGAAATCAAATTTTAAATATAAATTATGTGTGCTTTATAGGCATATTTTAGAGGGTCCATTGAAAATGTCACACTTTCTGAAATACAGGAGGTTGTTGACCAGCAGAGGAAAGCAATTGAGAGAGAAATGGAAGGCTACAGGTATCCGAATGGAAAATATGGAGTTAATATCAGGTATATTGACTTATACATTCAGAATACTAATATACCAAATATGAAATTTATTGTAATTGTAAAATAATTTTTGTAGTAAGTTAGAAGACTTAGTATTGGAAAGGGGAGGAAGACCCATGAGGAGTGTGATTTTAACAAGTTGGCGAAGCGGAAGTACATTTTTTGGTGATGTAGTCAACGCACATCCAGCAAATTTTTATCATTATGAACCCCTACTTGATTTTGGAATCGTACAAATTAGGGGGCCACCTCTCGCCGACGAAGCTCTTAGAAATCTCGAAGCATTACTAAGATGTGATTTTAGCAATCTTGGTAAATATATTAGCCATAATATAATTATAGTAATGTAGATAAATATTCAGTATCACTTTTTTAAATAAATTCTTTTAGATCGATATTTGGAATATGGTAAAACTCATCCTTGGGTTTTTAATCATAACACGCATTTATGGAAACAGTGTCAGATTCACAAAAAAATTTGTTGGGATCCACGATTTGTTTCTAAATTTTGCAAACTATTCCCCTTTCAGTCAATGAAAATTGTTCGTTTAAGATTACGTGCTGCAGAAAAACTTTTAGAACAAGAGTAAGAGCTTTTTTTCAATTCTTTTAGTTAAGTATTGTAATATGAAAATACTACAATCTTATAAAAAAGTGATTTGTTCCAGTTTAGGAATACGTTTAGTTCTATTAATTCGTGATCCAAGAGGGATTTTACAATCGAGAAAGCATCGAGAATGGTGCCCTACAAAACCCGATTGCTCGGATCCTGCGTTGGTATGTGCAGATATGGTTTCGGACTTTAGTGCAGCAGTACAACTAATTAAAAAATATCCTTATACCTTCAGGTATGCTTTTCTTTTGCAATCAGTATTATCTATATTGATTGATATAATATATATTCTAGAAATATATTCAAATTTTACTAAAATCATAATTTCGATTATCATAGAATAATCTTTTTCTTTTTTTTTATTCAACAGGGTAGTGCGTTACGAAGATCTATCCGTAGATCCCTACAAACATGTAAAAGAACTATATAATTTCTACGGTTTGGACTTTCATGCAAATGTAAAAAAGTTTTTAGATACTCATACAAAAAACGACGTTGGTGGTGTTTCGAGCACTTTTCGAAATTCAAAAGTGGCGCCATTTCATTGGCGGACAGATCTCGATTTCGAGGAAGTTGATGAGATACAAAGAGTTTGCGCAACAGCTATGCGGCTATGGGGATACGTTATGGCATCAAATTCTAGCCACCAAAAGGATTTCGACCCACTCATAGATTATAAACTGCAGTTGTGACACGTGACGTAACATACGATAAATGTCTAATATCTGAACGTAACTATTACTGTGTAGAATGGTTATAATTATTAGCTTATCTGCACAGATACCGGGATTATCACAAGTGCCCTCATTCACATTGAAAAGGTGGTGTTGATAGTTTGCGTAGATAAGCGCTTATGAACTCTTACAATCGATTCCTGTTGCCGATCTATCTTGGATTGATAAAAAAGTAGCAAATTATCGAACCTTGTAAGACCAATGGTGAAACATGTTCCTTAATGAATTCAAGAGATGCATAAGTGCTCTTTGAGCTTGTTGCAAAATGAATAGACTTGATCTAGAATCTTAGACCAGAGTATTAGGTGCAAAGATTAGAAGTTCCTAAGACCCTGGTGTGCAACAAGAAAATATCCATATCAATGCAGATATTAAATGAACTTAAACGATAATCTTTTTTAGAACTCAAAGTTTAACCGTCGCAATCTTAATATAATAAATGTAACTGTAATGCATTAGGATTTTCCACTGAAATATTGAACAAAAACGTAAGATATTAAGCATTTGCATAAGACATTATCTTTATTCGTAAGTAACGTGTAATATTATTTTAACATATAATTTTATTTTTTTCGAAAATGCCTATATACGTTTTGCAATACAGATTATGTAAAAATGAGAAAGATTTTTGATATTCTTAATTCATAGTTGTTATCATTTCTTTCTTACACTCTGATATTGTTATTGTTTCTCATGAAGTGTGTAAGATGGAAATCTTGAAATTCGTAAAACAAATCTGTAAATAATTAGCATTAGTTAAATATTGGTATATCTGTATTGTTTTACTATATTTAAAATAATCTTTTTGGTAATAGTTTCTATGCTATTGGTCTTAAAGCCAAAAATTAGATAATAATTTCAGGAAACTTTAAACAAGAAACTATTATTTAATTTGCTAAAAATTCGATATCTCAAAGAAATTTTTATTTGGATTATATTTTAATCGCTTCAATTATTTTATTATTAATAGTTCGTTATTTTTTTCGATATATTGTACAGTTATTCATATGAATTTTAATAAATATCTATGTATATCTATGTATATTTTAATTTCTAATGTTGTTTATCTTTAACGTGTAAATTCTATTCAAGCAATAACTATTTGTTTGCGAAAAAAGCAATTTATAAAAGCAATTATCCCCTAGGATTAATTAAGTACAAGTGCTCAATACAGTCAAGAAATTACTTTGTATGTAATTACACATATAGTTTAACTCACTTTAAAATTATTGAATATTCACAACGTAAATTTTATCAGGTTATATATCACTCATTGAATGTATTCATTTCTTTAACTTCAATCATTTTACTTTCTAGTATATTACTTTATTGGCATTTAACAATTTAAAGCCACAGCGGCGGTATTGTGTGAATTTTTGTTTATGAATAAAACAATTCATCTAGTCCAAAATGTTTTTGTTTCACTTTACGATACCATTCAAATATATTTTAATAATTAAATTTGACTGTTAAAAACTAAATTTTGTTATAAAACGTAATCTATACAAATGTTAAATTAATTTTAATTTTTATGAACTAAAATAAAAGTTCCTTTTAAATAATAAATAACATTATTTATTTTCCCATAACTATAAAATTATATTTAATTTTACCTTTACGTAATATTAGTACTAGTTTTATTGATTTTTTTTTTTGTATATCTCTACGTCAAATTGACAGACAGGTAAAGGAAACCACATATTTTTTTTTAAAAAAAGAAAAAAAGATTAGTTTAATTTAAAAACAATTACAATATTAACCCTTTATCCTATGATATAAGTTCCGATGGTATGTGCCATAATTAACAACAGAGTGATACTCATCTTTCTGGCTCCATTTCTTCATCACCAATCTTACACGATATTGTAGGCAACAGTTACTTAAATCTGTTAATAATGTATAATAGGAGCAACCTATTTGTCAAATTTATAGGTCCCGTAAATATATACTCCGTTCAACAATTAGAAAATATAAACAGCTGCACGTGGGCGATGAGCAATCAAACGAGAATCGAAATATCAGACCCGTCTCCAAGTTGATCCAGACGTGAAATTGAATATTTCGAGGAAAATTTTAGCTGATCTCGAACACAAGGACCCTTGTTTAGGACTTCTAAAAATCGACCCTGAGCATTCACGTTCAGCAACCATTTATCTGCGTCCACAGCATCTATCATGTCACCGTTTTGTTTATATTTCCTGTCAATTCTCGTTGAACGGAGGAGTGTTAAATTTATGTTGCTTATTTATATTTATACATCTGAAAAATTAATAGGATCATATAATCAACGAAAAATATAGGTACATGATGCGTTTTTATTTATTAAAAGAGCAAAGAAAATAATTTTATAATAAAGAAATTGGGTACCTTTTCATTCTTTAATTACATTTATACCAAAATATATAATGAAAATATATTTTATCTCTATTTGATACGTTTTCTAGAATTATAAAATAGGAATATCTTCTAGAAATCAAATACGTATCGCTGTATTTGAAAGGCGAATTCGTGTTAACGTCAGTTATTGTCCCCAAAATTCTAAAATAAATTTTAATAATGTATATTAAAGTTCACATTATTAAATAAATTGGAACGTACATAAAACTCGAATTCAGTAAATGAGGAAATTTTCATTAATGATCATAGCGTATATTGAAAACATCATTATAATAATTACAATGAAAATTCTTTCTTTATTCAATATACTGTACCTTTTTACTAGTTACATTTTCTTGTATAAGGGGTGAGTTTATGACACATCTACAAATAAAAGAATAGAATTCTATTACATTAAGATTTATATTAATTACATATTTTGATTAAAAAATTCAAACTCAGTGAGGGCAAGTTGTATATCATTTCAATAAATCATATTAGCGTATATTTTGTGCTAACATCATAGTTCCTAATAAAATATTTAATCATATTATTTTTATACAATTACTCACCTTGAAATAGTGATAATAATGACAGATACTTCACATTGGAGGAATCTAAGAAAATAAATATTATTAATTTTCAAGATTACTAGACAAATGTTACATAATTTATGTTTCAAACATAATAAATTGTGATCAGAAAATATATGACATCAAAGGTACTCAGCCATATGCTTGTCAAATAAATCATCATAAAGTAACTATAGAAATTTACTTTTAACATGAGTAAATCACTGATTATAAAAGATGTTATTTACTTTTTTCTCTTCGAAGGTAAGTGCCATAGTTAAAAAAACCAATTTCTTTAAAGATGCATATATATTTTTCCTGTAAGAAAATAATTCAAGTTTATTGCAAATAAAATGTTATTAGATAGGTTTTTCATAAAATCAAATTTATATCAGGAAATAAATATCACCATGTTTTTATGTAAGACAGGGATAACTTTTTTTCTTTACATCATGAGAAATCTTTTTTATAGTTTCTATAGATTACAAAATAAATTTTTTAAAATCACCTCATTGGTATTGTTCTTCTCCAAAACTCGAATTTCTTTCCAAACTCATGTTAAATATTTTTCTTTCGGATCATAATTATTTTAAGATTTTCCCATAAAATTAATAGTTAAAATTAATCTCAACCATTTTCATTATTTTTTTCTGAAATTGTGTATACATATGCATTATTGTAGATTTCTAATTGAAATTATGAATTGAAAAACATATATTAAACATATTTAATGTTCAGGTTTACACCTTCTACATAATATTTCTGATGGACTGGGGCAGTGTTAATATTCATCATATTTCTCTATAATACATTATCATAATGGAAGATAAAAACTTAATTTCTAAAATTTTATTTAAGTCTACTTTAAAATTTATGTAAACATGGGAAAAAACTTACCAAGATCATCTAATAAATTTACTTCGATGTATTTCATCTTTATCTTTAACCATTCTTTCTCACTAAAAAAAAAAAAAAAAAACGAAAAATATACTTTACCCACTAGTAAATTATAAAACTTACATATAAATTTATGTGACTTTTTTCAGAATACTGAATCATTCATATTATATTCAGACTGGGGCAGTAACATAACATCACAAGTATAATTTTTCAATGCAACTTCTGTTCAAGAATGAGTTGAAAATCTAACATGATACTAAAAATGTAAGATAAACACAAAAAAATTAAGCAAAGAAATATGAAGTGGAAATTGAACATAATAAATACAAAGCAAAGAAAATAAAACTAAAAAAAGACATTTTACTTCTTTCGCAAAAGTATACTGAACATGATCTTACAATGTGTTCTAAACAAATAATACTCACCAGAAAAATTGCAAACATGCCAAAACTATAAGTTGATCAGCGAGAGGCCATCCAAAACACGTTTGTGACTAATTTTAACGTTTTAAGCTAGGTCTAGAAGAAGAAATAAATCGAATTCCGAATGATTGAATTAAATAATAAAAAATAATAAAACACGTGAATATATTCAGAGTCGCATTTCTAAGTTTGTAATCAAGAAATACATCATACGAACGAGACATTTTACATATCATCACATAAAACGAAAAATTAGAGAATGCAGTAGCAAATTAAAGAAAATACAATGATAAATGATATGCTACGATGTTAGTTTGCTCGAAAAACTTCTTTTTTTATAATTGTTTATGAAGATGCAGATGGTGAACGTGGATTATGTGAAATATACAACTTACTTACCTCACCACCATCTACGACGAAATTCAAAATGAAAGACCAATGCTCCAGGAACATAATATAAATAGAAAACAACCACGATTCACCTATATTTAAGAGTGACTCATGCATGCATCTGAAGTGCTCTCTGATGGAATTGCGTGAAATTAAAATCAGAATTTAGTGAAATTCTCATTAAACTTTAATATATATATTAGAAATTGTAAACCACTATGATTTATACATACAAATATAACTATAAATTTATGTAACAATACTAATGATTTTAAATATTTTCTAATATTTAGAATATAAAAATGAGATATTACCCTATGTGTACGAATAGGCTGGAAGATGAAAATATGGACAATTTTTTAATTTTCGTGGAAAACAGATTACATCAGCAAAATATGAAAATGCTAATTTGTACATATGAAATAGTGTATCAATAGCTTTCTAGTCATAAAATTTAACCAATTGAGAGACATAATACTCTTGTGAGACTATTAAACTTACAAGAAGAGTGCAAGTCCTTCGGGTCACCGATTTAGTTGAAACTTTGCAGGTTTGTAGATATCGTCATGCAGTTTAAGAAAATATATTATTACAGTTTTTAAAATATTTACGATTGAAATTTTATTACAACCATAATTATATATTTATTTCCTATAATTTTCAACTAATGTCGTAGTCTAATGTCGAAAATTGAGAATTCATGTGCTTGAGGACCGGGGTTCAATTCCCCGTTTCAGTTTTTTATAAATAGCTTCTTTTCAATCTATTTTTTATTTTACAAATTAGCTCATGATCATTTAACTGATCCAAAATTAAGTTCACAACCAGATGTTGAAACCCCTGGACTTGTAAATAAAAAAAGGAAGGAAGACCGTAGTAGCGATCGAGAAAGTGACGATGAAGTAAGAACTCAAGAAGAATTAGAAGTTATAAAAAAAGAGAAAGAGTTCGTTTATTGTTTACATTATAACTATGTTATAGAAAGTAGGATTTTCATTGACTGTCTCTTATATTTTTATTTCCAGGGCAATGAAGAAAAGGATTAAAAATACATTGAGAGATACAAAAAAGGAACCGAAGAAAGTACAAAATTATAAAATAGGTGATGCTGAAGATGATATGGATATAAAGGAAAATGAATAGGGAATAAAAAACTTCTTATGAGGTTTAGCACAAGAGAAAGCCGAGGAGATGCACGATGAGAGATATCAAGAATTATTAGGATAACTCATGTATTCGAATAGAATCATTTATCATATGTCTATGAATATTGTACATATATATATGGTCGTTATAATGATAATTATTACGTGGTATGTATTACGAAACGTCTTTTCCTCTTAACGGTCCGTGATACGGACATCTATTCAGATTCTAATGTCTATATGTCATTGTTTATTATGTCGTTAACAATTAACATGTATATGTAAAATATTCAAAGTGAATAAAAGGTACTTTAACATATAACCATTGAAGTTTCGTTTTCTTTTTACCACGAATGAAACAACGCATCTTCATCTATGACTTCATGTTAGTCTGGCTTTTAAGAGTGTAGAGAGAAGGAAGAAAAATGTGTTACACTTATTTATGTCCTTTTATTGTTTTGTTTCTCCCGCCCTTCGGGTCACGTGGTTTTGCAATCGGCAGTTTCGATCAGCGCCATCTATGATCTGGGCTCAAAAATCAAGAAAGTGATAGGAATATAGAATAGGCAAGGAGGTCGACGAGCTACTGGTCACGTGATAGACAAGGACAGGGCGAGGTTAGAAAAGGATAAAATGGCCCCGACAATGAAAAATTATTAATTACTCAATTTGTGT